ATTATCCAAGATGGCTCATAGACATGCCATCACAGAGTTAAAGAGTTAGGGGCATAGACCTGTGATGTAAATGGGTGGTATAGATTATTGACCTGTGTGCTTTACCCTGAGTTCTTCCTTACTAGCAGGCTCATATGTTTTTGGTATTTGGACTATGTTCAGCAGAAGGCAGGGGAATAACTTCTTAGCCTCAGAATGTCACCCTAGTGTGTACTATGTACTATAACTGTTGCTAAACAATGCTCAATAAAAAGTTTTAGACTCCTTGAAAATATAGTTGAAGAGTTAAGTCACCAATCAGCGTGGTGAATTTCTAGTCCAAAGACTTGCTGATATGAGGCTTCTCCTGGGTTATAAGGAATGCTAAGTGATGAATGAATCATGCCCAAGGCCTTTACTAATTGAATTAAATGTAACATAGGAAAAAAACCCAATAAAAACAAAAACCAAACCTGGCATGTGTCTTATTTTGATGATGGGCAGACCTTTCAAAACTGTCCCCACTGTTTCTGTTCTCACTGTTAACAACTGTAGTTGGAAGTTTTCCTGTGTCTCAGCTGGCTGGAAGTCAGGACAAATCTCTCCCACTCACATCCCCAAAGTAAACACACAGAGGCTTATATTACTTATAATTGCTCGACCATTAGCTCAGGCTCATTACTGACTAGTTTTTGTACTTAAATTAACCCAAAATTCTTATCTATGTTTAGCCATATGGCTTGGTACCTTTTCTCAGTCTGCCTTGCCATCTTGCAGATGATAAATCCATAACCTCTTGCTTCCTGTGGAAACAAAAGCAGAGCCTCCTTTCCAAAGCAACATATCCTTAGATTCAAAATTTGAAGACAAGATACCTTATATATAGGTTTAACTGAGCAGCCTTTAAATTAAATGTCTTTCTGCAGTTAAAAATCTCAAAGACAATATAATTTAGACTCTCTGTGTGATTTCCATCTTTACGTGGCTTATTCTTTAATAATACTTTCACTTTCTCTTTAAAGTCTTTATTTTTTAAAACTTTCTATTTCTTTATATAACTGCCTATATTCCCTTTCCTCTTTCTTACAAGCCTATGTACATGTTTACACTTACTGTAAACTGTTTAGGGTTTATTCCATCTGAATCTATCTTATTGTGAATCTATTGCTTTAAACTGTAGCATGACTAGGACTGAAATAGCAACCTTGACTGCTGGCTCCACCCACCTCAGCTTTCAAACATGGCGGAACTACGTTTATCACCAGCTCTGGGGGAACCAGGCTCATGGCTGACTCTGTGAAGCAGTGGGTCTGGACTTCCATGCAGCAGTGTGTAGTCCAAACCCCTTTTCTTTCTTTCCTTTTTTTTTAGCCATACTAGCAAAAGCTGTATCCACCATGCATCATGCTGCACAGCTTGCAGACAATCCACCATGCTGCACTCAAGCCCACATGCCGTGAACCTGCCATACTGTAGCTCAAGTCCGCGCCATCGTATCTCTTGACCTGCATGAGACATGAAGTAGAAGGCTGTTTTTGGCTCCGTTACTGTGTGTTTAGAAGCCCTTTTGAAGCTCTTTTAGGCCTTATGAAAATTTGAGAGCCCCATTTTTGGTACGCCAAATGTAGCTGGAAGTTTTCCTGTGTCCCAGCCAGTCGGGACAAATCTCTCACCCACAGTCCTGCAGCCTTTTATAAAATAATCACACAGAGACTTAATATTATTTATAACTACTTGGCCAATAGCTCAGGCTTATTACTGACTAGCTCTTACACTTAAGTTAACCCAAAAGTCTTGTCTATGTTTAGCCACGTGGCTTGTTACCTTTTCTCAGTTCTGCCTTGTCATCTTGCTTCCTCTGCATCTGGCTGGCAACTCCTGACTCAGCCTTCCTCTTCTCAGAATTCTTCTTGTCTGCTTACCCTGCCTATACTTCCTGCCTGGCTCCTGGCCAATCAGCATTTTATTATTTATCAGCCAGTTAGAGCAACACATATTCACAACATACAGAACGAAATCCCACAGCAAACAACTGTATGTAATTCATACTCATGTTGGGTTTGGAAATTCTAGAACTTAACAATCTGTTTATATATTAAAGACAGTTAGAAACAAGGTACTGTATATATATATATTTTTTTTGAAGATTTGGTGGAGATTGCCCAAGGCAGTGAACTTGTTTGAATCTCTAAACCATGACAAATTTGGAGTTAGGTGTGGTTGTGGCATCTACAAATGAATTTCAAAGTGTATCAATAAAGTTTTGCTTTTCCATTCAGCCCAAAGTACTTGGCAAACAATCTAGAGAAGTGAATTGGCCATATTATATGGCAGAGTGAGGAGTATAGCTCAAGATGTCACCATTCAACCACTCTGGCCTCCCTTCCAGCTGATGAGTTCCAAGAGGATTTACTGAAATGAAGTCCACATTTGCCTAAGGCGGACAGCAAAGTTTCTGGCTGGTTTATGAGCGACTGTGTGCACAGTGGGATAGGGTCGCACACACCATGCTTCTATCCAGTCACAGTATTGTGGTACAGGGCTTTGGACACTGGGTCTCCATGGGCCCCAAACAACAGAGCAGCATGACAGAGAAAACGATGCTGTGAGACAGGAATGGGCCAGGGTTGGTGAACTTTGCATCATAAAAGAACTGGAGTCAAGAACAACCAAGAATTGTAAAAGTGTTTTAAATTTATCTTGTGGTTTTCATCTTCTGGGGTTTTAGAATTTGGGGACTTTGGCTTTATGATTTCAACATGTAGGACTCTGGCATTTGGTTTGTATCTTTGGGGATTATTGAATCTCAACCTACTCTAACGGTGGCCTCCGTCTTAGTCTATTCACGTTTATATTTAAAAATAAAACAAAGAAAAGGCAATGGTTTACAAACAAAGCAAATTTTCTCCTCTTAACTCTAGAGCTTGAGAAGTCCACGATAGAACACAAAGACCGAGTGTCTTCTGCTGGTCCACGTTCTGGTTCACAGCAACGTTTTCCTGTGGAAGCTCACTTCGAGGAAGCGGATGTAACATGCCCTCCAGCCTCTTGTAGGAAGACACTAATTCCATTCATGCCAGCCTTCCCACAAAGCCCACACATACTCCCTCCGGGGCAGGCTTCGACAAGAGTTCTGGAGATACCCAGACATTTAACCACAGCACTGTCTTACTCACCAGCCCTAGTGACATGCACATGGGGCCGGCAGTTTAACATGGATTATGGTTAAAGAGGCAAATGAACTGGTAATGATAAATTAAGATTTTACAAAAGTGTGATTGATTTTGGTAACAGACACAAAGAGAGAACTCCACACTGATGTACTTTTTCCCATACTGGAGGATTTCTTACTTCTCAGGAGTGAGTCTTATCTTTCTTTCATGAATGTGAAAAACTTGGAGCTTAGGATTGCCTCAGGCAAGTGGGCTTGAAGGTCTTCTTGGGATTGAATGAAAGGTAATAATCAAAATCTAGGTCAAGATACTATTTATTCTATGGAGAATTGTTTAAGCTAATGCTTAAAATTTAAGTCAGAACACATTTTAATCTATGATTCATACCATGCCTATCAGATATTCTTAATGACTGCACACATTGTAATATTTTCCTGACTACTTTGAGGAATTTTCTAACATCAAGTAGAACAGCCATTAAATTATCATTATAAAGATATCAAGCTCTCTTCATTGCATCTAACTATTTCTCAAGGCACATGGATGAGGTGTGTGTCTGAGAGCTTTGGAAACTTCAATATCTCTCTTCAGAGAGAGAGTGAAAACAAAGAGTCCATGGAAGAGAAAGTGAAAGGGAATAGGAAAGCGGGAGGCAGCAGACAGGAGCTCAGTGCCTAACGAGGAACCAGACGAAGCCACTGGCAGCTCTCAGTGAGAGATACAGACATGTCTAATTTCATAATAATTATTTTAAAAATCAGTGAAAATGTGTTTGAGAATGCAATAGCAATACTTTATAAGATAGCAAAGACTGGAGTAGAATAAAGAGAGTTATCCAATATAAATAGTTTTATGGAAGAAATTAGACTACCTTGCATGTGACTTATAATCCAAGAAAATAATTCTCATTCATAGCATATAGCAAATGACCATTTGATATTTAAGAGTATGAATTTTAAATGCATTACTCTGAAAGTATTTTTCCCATCTCTCCAATTCATTCTGACAATTGATTATGAACACTGATTATATATGAAGAAACACACCTCATGCTTTCAATGATGTTAGGACAAATGAATTTTCAAACTCAGAGGCAGCTGCTCTGCTAATATTCAGAAAATGACCACAGACCAAAGCTGCATTATCTGGATAAAGATTTCCCATAGCAAAAAATAAAAATGGGAAACAACAATAATAATGTATCAAGAGAGTTAGAAATATATGCTTACATTATAGTAGGATAAGAACTAGAGTTATGTGAGAATAAATGTTTGAGTTTTTTAAAATAACAGTTAATGCTGGCATCCTCTGAAGTCCAGAGATGCTGAGATATAGACTTGATAGCCAACACCTGAACTCCATGGATTCACTATAAAAGTTATGTATCCAGCACCAGCATGGAGAACAAGGAGGAGGCCATGTAAGATCACACAGTCCCAGGCATGGAAATAGCATCTGTCTGGAGGTTTGTAGGGAAAGACAGGATGGGAAGGAACAGGGAACTAATCAGAAACAAGGCTAATTTCTGGCTCTGTTTTATAACTTGGAATTTCCTCTACCTTCCAACCATTCTCCTTATAAAATAAAGACTCATGGTCATAAGGAGACTAAAAGTAACTTTTAGCTGCAAACGAATTTCCTTAACTGCCAGTGACTAAATCACAGGGTATTTTTTTTCTAAGCAAATGTAGAACATTGAGCCAAATTGTAACCAAATAAAGAGGTCCAAAGAGAAAAATGATCATCCAGCTTTGGTGATGAAGATTAAACCCGGGTGACCAACACCTACAAAGGCGAGTTTCTCCCTACACATTGTAAAGGCAGCATGTCCTCTCCTTGACAGGCAATTCCGATCATTGAAATTCACACCTAAGCTCCAAACTGCCTTTCTAGTCAGTGTCCAACTTTCCCTGTAGCAAAATTAGAGAGAAGTAATCTGACCTAACTGATGTGAGTTTTATCTTCTTGTATTCCCTCTTTTATTTCTTATAAAGATGCTAATGAGGAGTGAAATGACCAAAAAAAAAAAAAAAAGCCACAAAGAGAAAGCAAGGGAAGCTGAGAACCCAGAGTGACTAATCAACTCCATGTAGCTGCACCTGAGCACTGGGGCATTCATCTGAAGATCAAAGGCTTCCCCCATGTTCTAAACTTTCAAAAGACCTCGAGTGAAGATGGACCCGGTAAATGTTTTATCTCGAGTATTCTGGAATCTTCCAGAACGGGCTGAAATTTCATGATCACAAAAGGTAATGAAAGTAAGAGTGGTGTGGCTGGTGAGCTTTCTCTTCCCACGGTTCTGTGTCTTTTCCTCCTGTCCACTCCACAAGTGGACACAGAGAAGAGAGCAGAGGGTCACATGCCCCTTCCCACTTCCTAATGCGCTCTGCACATCCACAACCCCTCCCCTTCCTGTCTCCAGAAGCAATCTGAAGTGCTGCTCTTCAGTTCGCACCAATATAGCCAAACTCCCAGGACAAAGACACTCGAAGGGTGATTTTCTGTCGTGCATGGTTGTTCCACGCCTGCAATCACAGTGCTTGAGAGGGAAGGGTAGACGCTTAGGGAGTTTAAGGCCAGGGTCAGCTACACGGCAAGTTTGATGTGAGCCTTGGGTACATTAAACCTTATCTCAAAGAAATAAACAAAGAGCCATCTTGTTATTAACACAGCCTTCCTGCCCTTGTCAGGCCTGTGGTCTCACTCCTGGAGTGCTAAGGTCGCCCCCTGTGACCGCCACTGAGTCATCCTTCCCTGGATGCTCTCCTCGCTCCTGTCACTACCAAATGATGATGCTTGTTAGCGCCTCTGCATAAACTGACAAAGGAAAGGAATGAGATCTGGGCTAAAATAAACCAGCTTCCACATTTCAGACAATGGTGGGGAAACAGAGAACTCAGAGAGAAGACTGACCTGCTCCACAGGTGTATAAGCAGTCCCGGATCCCTGGAAGAGGGTCTTCTCTCCGGCAGCCACAGAGCTCAAGTTTCAGAAGACCAAACTGAAGCCCTCATTATTATGGCTGAATTACAGCAAAAATGTAAGTCCCAGCCTTGAGGGTGTCTGTGGTTCAAGTATGGACATTAACAAGTGAAGAACTGGATCCTGTAACATGGGGTGTGTGTGGGGGGGGCTCTATCACCCTCAGATTCTCAAGGTTTACCTCACCTGAGGAAGTAGTCTCTCCACCCTCCCCCATCCACCCCCTGAAATAATCTCCTGTTCACCTCTGACAGAGGAAATTCACCCTTCATTGTCTGCCAAACCAGCAATGACTTTCTCTTAAAGAAATGCCAGGCCCACCAGTAGTTGTCTCTAGACCTGTAACCAGACTTAAGGCAAAGCAAGCTCTTAGAGGGGAGGTAGAGAGTGTAGTTCACGAGGACGCTATCACCTCCATCATGAGGAGAAGCACTACACCACTAAAGAGCTTAATGAGTTCGCTCATTCGTTCAAGTAGACGTCTGGGAATGTGTGTGAGGACCGATCTTCAGCGTGTGCGATGGTGGAGGAAGGAACACAAACTGGGTCTTCAATAAGAGTGCATCTCAGCCGGGCGGTGGCGGCGGCGGTGGCGCACGCCTTTGATCCCAGCACTCGGGAGGCAGAGCCAGGCGGATCTCTGTGGGTTCGAGGCCAGCCTGGGCTACATGCGAGATCCAGGACAGGCACCAAAACTACACAGAGAAACCCTGTCTCGGAAAAAAAAGAGCGTATCTCTTTCCTGGCTGTAGAGGGGTGTGGATTTTATAGGAAGGCTGGGTATTATGGAAGAGTAGAGACCACATTATTTCTCTATTTCTGTACATTTCTACCAGAGGTGACATTCCCTTTCTCTCAGTCTCTGCTAGAGAACAGGATAGCAGATCTCTACCTTCTTCATGGGGAGGGGAATAAGAGAAGAGCTTCGGTTTCATGTTGTTGCTGAACTTGGCACTACCTCCATTATCAGAAAGAAAGAAAACTGGCAGATCTAACTGATCCCTCAAATACAGTCTAGCACCCTACCATA